CTCTCAATGCACCAAATGGCCCGCCAATATCACCTGCTGCTCTAACCCACAGGCCCTTCCCTGAGATGACCAGAATTAAATACCGTATACGCAGGTTACAGTACCCACAAGAGTTACGACTCAACTCTGCCTGCCTTTCAGGGATAAAGAACGCGGTGCCACCTGTTGCCAACACGGAGCTGTCTCCCAGGGATCTTGCTGAGCCCCGAGGGGGACCAAAAGCAACCCAGCACCCCTTCTGCCCAGGCAGGAGATCACAACAGGTGAGCCACCCCTGCTGGATAAAGGGAACCACCCTTTCCCGGAAACCCTCCTGTCAAGCAGGGAAGCAGTCAGACTACCGAGAGGGCACCAGCAGAGATGACAAGGTCACTGCCAGAGGTCAAGGGCCAGGCCCAGCCTCGGCTGCACCCATGCGGACTCATGGGGACAGAGTATGGGCCCAGAGCCAGCACAGAGAACCCTTCCCGTCTCCTCAGGGCTGGGAGAGAGCTCCCACCATCGGCATCTGCCCTGACGCTAAAGGGAGCCCTGCAGCTCCCAGGGCAGGTGCAGTGACCTGGGCACCTACTCAGTGCAGGGCCGTGGGCATCCGCCAAGGGGAGTGTGAGGGGCAGGTAACTGCAGCCCTCATATGCCAAGACTCAGACAGAAAATAAACAGCAATTCAGCACCACAGCAGAGAACCTCTTTGAGCTGTTTCCTCGTCTGCCAAACAGAGAGAGCCTTTATCTCATATGATTTTAGTGGGGATTGAATGAGACCACTTTTACAAAGTGCCTGACTCTACTCTGTAGATACTCAATAAGATGGTTACTCTTATTAAAACACACACACACACACACACACACACCACAGAAGAGATGTCACAGGGCAGGCGAGGCCTAATGCCAACGCTGTGGATAAACAATAAGGGAGATGGGTTCAGGGGGAGACGTGAAAGCAACTGCTGTGACTGGCGTGCGCTGGGAAGACCGCCCAAAGGGAGAGGAATCTGAACAGGCCCCGAGAGCTGCCACAGTGAGGGGGCACTGGGCTGGGCATGCCCACACCCAATCTCTACACGGGTCCTACAGAAATGCAGTGGGTGCCTAGAAAGCAGAGATGGCAGGTCACCTCACCAATGAGGCGAGCCAGGTTCAGAGGAACAAGGTGCCTGGTCCAGGCTGGCTGGCCATGTCTCCCCTCCCCACCAGAGCTGGAGGGGCGGGTGGGGCGGGGCCCAGAGGCAAGGCGTGCCTTGTGGGTGCTCAGCTAAATGAACTCCAAGCAAAATGACCATCTCAGGCCCGCGAACACCAGCCCTGGCCCTTCCAGAGACACGTGTCCTACCCGAAGGCTTCCTCCTAGTCCTCAGGTGCCCTCCCTCCACTGTCCTGCAGTCACTCAGCTACTTTCTCCAAGAGCAAAAGGTCACTTCTTTCTTTTCAGAAAGGTCCCATCCGGGCTTCCTGTACCAGTTTCAAGGTGACCTTTAAGCTGTTCCTCTCTTCCTTTGAGAAGAGGGAGAGGAAAGGTCTAATCTTATTTTTATAGGAAGCCCGTTGCTGGCTCTGATGTCCACATACGTGAAGAGGGCAATAATGGCTCCCATTCTCCTCTGCACACAAACTTGTTCTGAGAGTAAATGTCAGGATGCCCCTTGTAAAGACCAAAACAAGCTATAAGACGGAAAGGGACAAAGGAAGGCTTTTTTTTGCCTCTGGTCAGGCGACAACATGAATACCTGCTTTCTGGGCTCCCGGGCCTCTGCCAGGAGTTCCGGGTGAGGGAGATGGACAAACAAATGCAGTGGGTGCCAGTGGCGAGCTGGGTTACAGGGAGGCTCTGCCTTATCACGAGCACTGGACGGGGAGCTGGGTGAACTGGGGACAGAGCGGAATTCACGCAGGGTCCGAATCACAATGGGCGGTGGGCGAGGAGAATGGACCTTAACCCAAGGCTTGGGGTCACTCCCCTAGTTCTCACAGTAATTTAGACCCCTTCCCACCACTAGCCCCACCCCACCAAGGGTGCCTGACTATTGCAGAGACAACAAAAAAAAAAGGCCAGAGAAGGGAAGTGACCAGCCTACTCGCCCGCTGCTGAATCGGTTAGTGAAGCCAGAGCATCTACTCTGAAACTTCAGCTCCAACCCCGCCCCTCCCACACCCATCTCTGTCTACCGAAGGCTCTGCTCCGTGCTGAGGGCAGAATGAGAACTGCACACCGCACCTTCTGTTCTTACAGGAGGGGCACCTTGCAAGGGAAGTGGCTGCCACAGATGACAGGATGAGGGCTCCCACATAGCTGCTACCCACACTGGGGCGCAGAGAGAACAGGCAGGACCCCAACATGAACCCCAAGGCTCTTGGGGAGTGCAGAGGGAGCATGGTCTCAGCCCCCAACCCCTACCTCCGAAGTCGGTTGTTGTGCCATGTCCCTCCCACCTGAGAGACAGCTTAAGTGAAAGGAAAACAAAGTCAGCGGACACACCCCAAAACCCTGACGCCCGGTGGCGTGGCGGCCCAGGGTGGAGAGATTTGTAATCCTCCAGCCTCAAAGGATGCTGTAGGAGGCTGAGGTGGGGATGCCCTTAGGTGACTGAAATACCAACCCGGGCAGCTGCCACTCGCTGAGGGCTCCCTGTGGGCACAAAGACAACGTTACGGGTACTCATTCACGTCATCAGCACATCAGGAGGCGCTACGGCGAGATAGTATTGTTTCCCCATTTTATACAAGAGGAAATGGAGGCGCAGCGAGGCAAGTGGAAAAGCGGTGGAGCCCTTATCTGACCTCACTGCTTCGCCACAGAGGGAGAAGGAAAGCATGGGCTGCCCCTTGCGTCACTTGAACGGGGACCCGGCCATCTCTCGGTCACATTGCTCTCGGTGGATTTCCTTCTCGGGATGGCCAGATGCTAGGACGCCTCCGTTCTCAGACACAGGAAAAATGTCCTCCAAAGCCCGAAACACAGGCTTTTGGAACTGTGAAGGCCTCCAGAGATGGTATCCAACCTCCTCATTTTACAACAGGACAGCTGAGGTCCCCAGGCCGAATGACTGGCCAGGGTTACCTAAGTCAGTGAAGTGGCAGAAATGGTCAGAAGGAGCCACCTGGGTCCATTAACAAGTGGAGATGGGTGACGGGTCCAAGGCCACAGAGAGAGGCAGGGTGAGAAGCCAAGTTTCCTAACTTCTAGACTAATACCCCTGCCATGGCACCACCTCTGTTCTCCTGCTGCCCAGGGTCCCTGGCACAGGTTCTGGTGGGGACAAAGCAGGCCAAGCCTGACCCAATTAGAACCAGAGATACCAGGTCTATATGGACAAACTCCTGACTGCCCACGGAAGGATCTTTACGGTCATGCTGTCATCCCACCAGAAGTCACTGAGACCTGCCATGTGTGTGCCAGTCCCCAGGGCCCTGCCACCACGGCAGGAGTGGCTGAAGGGAGAGGTGATTGGAAGAGAGGAGGGCCATTTATAGACAGTGCTTGGGAGGTCTCTTCCGGGTCTCACATAAGTAAATGACACATTGTGGTAACTTCGGTTTCTTACGACAAATTAAAACATAGGTTTCATGACTGGGCTGATGTGGTCACACTGAGATTCTTGCCCGTTTCGCAGGTGAGCGAGACCTGCAGAAAAAGGGCCCGGCTCGTTCAAGGTCATGTTATGTGTCAGCATCAGTACACATGGCTCCCCTTGCCCAGTCCTGGATTTTTCCTGGCTGCCATCAGGGTATAGGTGTCCATGGCCCAGGTCCATGAACAGGCCGGGCCCTGCCACGGTCACAGCTCTCCTCAGGCCGGAACATCCTGCACCAGGAAGCAGGCTCCGTTTGGGATGTGTCACAACAGAGCGCCTTCCTGCAGCATGTCCCGGAGCCCGCCTCACACCGGCCCAGCACTGCCACTCGGCTCCTGCATGTCCTTGGGAGAGCTGCAAGGCTTCCTGCCAAGAGCCACCAACTCCTTAAACCCAAACCGCCAGAGCACCAGGCCCTCATGCCTTCCACAGCTGGCTGGGGCTCAGAAAGCAAAGTCAGCTTTCAAAGTACCCCTCCCCACCCCCCCACCCCCCGCCCTCCTTCCAGGGACCTCGGGGCTCTGCAGGCTCCGGTGAGCTCCATCAATCACCCAGAAGAACACAGGCCTCGCAAGGAGACCAACCCTATTTCCTTCTCCCAAAAAGAATATGTCCAAGTCTCCCCAGACCAGAACATCCTGAACCCCTTCACCTGCCCTCCTCCCACTGGGGTGAGCAGCGGGCCAGTGTGACTGGCCAGCTCAGGCACCACCCTGAGAGGCAGCCAGGTGCCAACCTGGAAGTGAGCTGGGGCCAAACCAACTGCCTCCGCTCCCCTCCACCCCCAAAACAAACTACAGACACCCCAGGGTCCCCTGTCCCATGAACTGTTCAGAGAATAGCATGCCTGAGACGGAAACTGATCCTCGCACAAGAAGGAGAAGCCAGGGCAAGCAAAGCTGATGGGTACTATTTCAGGGATAAAGGAAGGTGGAAATACCGGGATCCCTCATGTTCTACCACACCTCTAGGTCTCCAGCACTATAATCAAACTCCTTGGGCAAAGGAGAAACATACTCCACCCGGAAAACCCTCCCATGAAGCATCTGATTGCACTGGTTGCTGTTGACAGAGCAGGCTGTGCCACTTGCTGGAAGACAGTTCTCTTTGCCTTCCACACAGCGGGGTGCCTGGCTCCCCTGAGGGTCTGGTCCGGCCAGAGGAGACTTGCCAGGCCAGGTAGTCTGACTGAAATCCCTCGTATCAGAAGCATCTCATGCTCTCATCCTGTTCTTTCCCGTGCACAATGCTTGGGAGGCCTCAGGCACAGAGGCCACAGAGCTCAAGCTTGAGAAAGACCAAGATGACGGGATGGAGGCTGCCTACCTTACAGGAGTCCAGACCATGGTTCCTGCCTCGAGGGGTAAGGATGGGCCAAGCAGCTCACCGGTTTGGTGGCAGCGGATGCATCCGAGCAGGCTGGACTTACCGATCTTCATGAGGCAGGCCAGCAGGATCCAGAGGGCGATCTCGAAGGGGATGCGCACGTGGTCGTAGTCGATATCCAGGACTGGAAAGGACTTTCGGAGTTTGGAGCCACTTTCAGTGATGGAATGGTTAACCAGGGGGCTCTCGGGGGTGAACTCGGGTGGTGCGGTGGTGACGTCCCCGATGGAGCGTTCTCGAGGGGGCTCTGAGCCTCGGATGGTGCTGGCAGTGGGACTGGGCTGAAGGCCATGGCTCCTGAGCACGGGGAGTAGCCCCACCAAGGCTACCACCATGAGCAACGAAGGCAAGGCTCGAGGCAGAGCGGGACCCCAGATGCCAGACCACAGAAGCATCCTACCTCCCTCAGCCCGGCAGGCCTTGACCCCTTAGCAAAGTGAGAGGAAGACCTGGGACATCAGGGGGCAAGTGGGTCAGCAGGTGGGGAGAGAGACTGCGGTCGTCTCTAGGAAAAGTTCATGTTTTGGAGAGGTCTCTTTTTTTTGTTTTGTTTTGTTATGGCAGCAGTCCTCTGGGGGTGGAAGGGAGGCTTGGGTTCTCGATCTAGAACTCCAAACTGGGGAAGAGGGACAAGGACCCAGGAAGGGCCACAGGAGGAGGCGGAAAGGTCTGGACCTCCAGGCCAGGGGAAAGGAGAGTGGGGGCTAGATCGCGCCTAGGACAGAGGAAGGGGCAGGATCGGTTGCACCCCGGGCAAGGACAAGGAAGCGGGAAGGCTGGGACCCGGGCTGAGAAAGTGACTGAGGGGAGAAGGGGACTGCGAGAAGGAGCAGGGAACCTGAGCTAAAGGAGGAAGGCAGAAGCGGGTGGGACCCAGTCCAGGAAAAGAAGCGAGGGGGCTGGGAGCCCAGGCTGGGAAGGAGGGAAGCCAGAGAGCCGCCGGGAGCTTCCCCACCCAGAGGAGCGCCGGGTGCGGGCGCGCCGGGCTGGGATTCCAGGGAAATGGGGGGCCGAGGGGGGGGGAGCGCGGGGGAGGGCGGCCCGGCGGGAGAGCGCGGCGCGGGCTGGGGGCGGCTCGCGGTGGGCCCCCGGCAACGCGGCCCTCAGGGCGGCCCCGGCGCGGCGGCGCTGCGCTCCGCCCCGGCCCAGCTTCGGCTTCCCGACGCCTAGATCCAGCTCTGGTTCCTGCGCCGGGTGCAGCCCCGGCGGCGATGGGCTGGTGCCTAGCTGAGCCGGTCACTGCCATTTATAGGCACCAACGAGCTTCCAGCGTGAGCGGGCTAGAGCGACCTGTCAGCGGCCGTGCGGCGCAGCGACCCCTGGCCGCCGGCGGAAGGAAGTGTTACGTTCTGTAGGAAGAGAAAGGAGGAGGGGTAAGGGCGCGCACACACACAAGCAAAGTCCTGGATCTACTGAGATTCTATCCAACAGAGGTAAAATGCTTTACTATTTACAAAGCGCTTTCACATCCACACCGCAGGCTCATAAGGCTTCCCATTAGTCTTGTGCAGGGTATATTATTATCCTATGTATTTGGTTACCATGTGACCTTGAGCAAGTTACTTAACCTCCCTGCCCCACACTTTTTTTTTTTTAATATATTTTATTGTTTTTGTTGTTTTTGTACAGAGAGGAAGGGAGAGAGATAGAGAGCTAGAAACATCGATGAGAGAGAGTCATCGATCAGCTGCCTCTTGCACACCCCCTACCAGGGATATGCCCGCAACCAAGGTACATGCCCTTGACCGGAATCGAACCCGGGACCTCTCAGTCCCCAAGCCGACGCTCTATCCATTGAGCCAAACCGATTTCGGCTGCCCCACACTTTTTCATCTACAAAGTAAGTGGTAATAGCAGCAGTACCTATCAGAGGCTTCCTGAGATGACCGAATGATATAATCTGTGTGAAGGGTTTAGAATAGAGGCCCAGCACATTGAACTATTATTATGGTTTCAGTTTTGCACATGAGAAAAAGGGTGAAAAAGAGTTTCTTAGCGAGTATGTCAATAGTTGTATCAGTTTGCTAGCGCTGCTGTAACAAAATTCCACAAAGGAGGTGGCTTAAACACACACACACACACACACACACACACACACACACACACACACGCCAGAAATTTATTGTCTCGTATTCTGGAGGCTAGAGGTCTGAAATCAAGGTGTTGGCAGAGATGGTTCCTTCTGAAGGCTGTGAGGGTACATCTATTCCATGCTTCCAGCTGCTGGTGCTTCGCGGACAATCTTTGGTGTTCACTGATTGTAGCAGCATAACTCCTGTCTTCACGTGGCAACCTCCCTATGTCACTGTCTCTGAGTCCAAATCTCCCCTTTTTATAAGGTTGCCAGTAAGACTGGATTAGGGGTCCCCCCTAATGAACTCATCTTAACTTGATTGTCTTCAATAACACTATTTCCAAATAAGACCACGTTCATAGGTACTGGTGGTTTGAACATCCACATCTTTTGGGAAGATACAACTCAACCCACAGCAGTAGTGGAATTGAGATTTCAATGTATAGTGTTGGCTGGAATTGGTAAGATTCAAGAGGTCATCGTTGCTGGAATCACTGTAAAGTTTTTTAAAACAACCATTGACTGGCCCAGCCAGCATGCTTCAGTGATTGAGCATCAACCTATGAACCAGGATTTCTGGTCAGGGCACATGAACTGGTTTCGGGCTTGATCCCCAGTAGGGAGCATGGAGGAAGCAACCAATCAATGAGTCTCTCTCATCATTGATGTTTCTATCTCTCTCTCCCTCTGCCTTCCCCTCTGAAATCAATGGGGGGGGGGGGGAATATTAAAAGAAAAATATTAAGAAATTACTGAAATTCTGGCCCTATTTTTCAGAAGAGTAAATCAAGGCCAAGAAAATCAAGGTAACTAGCTCCAAAGGCATTTGGTTCAATTTAGCAAATATTTACTGGGCCTCGTGGCAGGGCTTTGTGCTAGGCTCTGGCAACACAGAGATAAGACATGGGAGGAGGGACGTGGAAGTGACTGGGAGGGGGCACAAAGTGGGCACAATGAGGGCTTCTAGGGTGCTGATAATGTTCTATTTCTTTACTGGGTGGTGGTTACAAAAGTTACGTAGAGGTAGTTGGTTTGTGATCATTCATCAAACACTCATGATTTGTGTGCTTTTCTCAAGATATGATATCCTTTCACGAACAGGTATATTAAAGTAGTAGAGTGATGTGATGGTGGCTGAGGTGCTGACATTAAACTGAATTCTCTGTGCCTCACTTTCTCCTGGCACAGGTCCCGCCACTTGAGAGATGATCGAAGAGCCGAAAGGAGTCTTCAGAGAAAGCCAAGGACCTTGTGTCACCTGGGAGCAGGTGAAAAGAAAACATCAGTTATACTGGCAATAAGCAAAGACATAGCATGTAGGGCAAGGATCAGAATAATGATGATGATGCCTCACAATGGTTCAGTTCCTTATAGTTCACAACCGAATACCCCAGGTTTATCAATGACCCAAGTCCTGGAACATAGTGAGGACACAATAGATTGTAGCTATTATTAATTTCATTGTATAGATTTAAAAAACAACAACAACAACAACAACACAGGCTCGGACATGAAGCCATTTGGCCAAGGTCACATAGCTATTAGGTAGCAGATCCTGAACTCAAGTCAGCTTTCTAGTGTCTGAATCCAGAACTATTTCAAAACACCACAGGTCAAAAAAAAGAGAGGGAAAGGGTGGAACTAGCAGAGAGACTTTCCAGGCTTGAGGGCAATGTTCACTTCACTATTGTGCTCCCCCACTTCCTACTTTCTGTCTCTTCCTCACTTCATTCTCGGCGACTCCTCAGGAGATGGCAGTTTCCATGAGGGTCAGCCCTGAGATCCTCCATAGCCTGGACAAGGTTGTATCATCCTGACAGAAAACAGGAAAGATCACTTGGAAGAAATTAGCTAGGCAGCCCATGGCCAAGATCCAACCCAGACCAGGCAGTTATAGAAAAAAAGTTAAGTATAGGCGTAACCTAATGTAGATAGCCATGTTACCTAGGTTCAAATCCCAGCACCATCACTCACTAATTGTATGACCTTCGGTAAATCAATCAACCCCCCTGTTCCACAATTTCTCCCTCCATAATCTGGGGGAGTAATGACAATTTCATGGGGCTATTAATCAATGCACTTAGAACAGCACCCAGCAGCTACCTGATTAGCTATCATGAATGAAATGCATGTCACGCTGAGACCGGTTTGGCTCAATGGGTATAGCGTTGGCTTGGGGATTGAAGGGTCCCAGGTTCGATTCCGGTTAAGGGCATGTACCTTGGTTGCAGGCATATCCCCAGTAGGGGGTGTGCAAGAAGCAGCTGATCGATGACTCCTCTCATCGATGTTTCTAACTCTCTATCTCTCTCCCTTCCTCTCTGTACAAAATCAATAAAATATATTTTTTTAAAAAAGAAATGCATGTCACCTCTACCAATGATGGGCAACCTCTGTCATTAATATAATGTATTATTTTGACATTTTAACACCAATATTTTCACCTCTATCTCTCTTTCAGTTACTGCCAAAAACTCGAGAGAGAATTGTCTATAATGTTTGCATCATTTTTCTCCTCCCAGTCTCTTTCATCTGGTCCAATTAGGTCTTCATACCTAAATACTGTACCTAATTTGCTCTTATCAATATCACTAAGGACCTCTGTGGGGGAGGAAAAGTTCTGGCCAAGTACACATGGACGAGAGAAAAGCAGAAGTTCAGAAATATGTTCATTGTGTATCCAGAGATGAGTGACTCAAAGGTTTAGTTAGAACTTGGGCTTATGTAGCATCTTAGAAAAGGAACAATACATTTTTAGAGAAGTGACAAGACAAAGGAAAAGGGCCTGCATTTAGTGGTAGCAAATTGTGGGAAACTATTGGTAGATAAAGGCTAGTTAATAAAGTTTGTTCTATAGATTCCTCTTGTGCTGTCTCCAGGCTGATAAGGGTCCAAAGTTGTCTCTGGTGAATAACTTAATTTTTCTGGTAGAGAGGGACACTTCTGTCAATTTTTGTCCTACTTTTATACAAATAGAGGGAGGCAGAGAGCTTTTCCCAGATCTGCTTCTTCTCAACTGCTTTCAGCTAAAAATAATCTGTATGCCAAAGTGATATATTTTAAGTGGCACATATTGCTCAATCAAATGGTGATGTCTGCCTCAGTCCTTATTTTTCTTTACCTATCAGCAACCTCAACACATTTAATCATTCTCTATTTCTTAGACTGCTGGGCCACACTACCCCACTTTCTCCTTCTTGAAATACTTTCCTCAATTAGCTGATCAGATCCCTGTCTCTCCTGGTTTTTCTCTTGGTTTTCCTCCCATTTTACTGACTGTTCCTGCTCAGTCTCCTGTTGCTGAATCCTTCCCCTTCTCCT